CTCAACAACGCCAGCAGACGCAGTGGTTACGTGGTATGAAATTCTGAAGTGATGCAATCATAAACACTAATAAGGTGAGTTTCCTCAAATTAAAAATTCCATCAAAATTATCACAATCTCCGGGTGCTGGGCTGGCTCAGCCAGTAGGGCCTGGGACTCTGGATCTCAGTGTTGTGAGTTCAAGCCCCACAATGGGCGTGGAGCCCACTTAAGAAAAACTTTCCACAATCTCCAATTTCAAACTGCCTTTTTATAATTGCCACAGGGCGGCACCACTTCAGCTCCTAAGCAGGCTCCTGCCATTCACCGCCGCTTTGGTCTCTAACTGTGTGGAACACAGGCCGCTCGGAGCAGCAGCGCTGGTTTTCTCCCGGACCCCTGCATGTTTTTTGCTAATACCACGTATTCTTATAAAGCCTCTTTACCCACAGAAGTTCGAGTTTTTAATTGAATTTTCTTGGCTTCTCAATAGAGAAGGTTCATTAAAAATTACTCGAGAGAATAAAGAGACTCGTGTGTTAGCTTTGGAATTTCTTTTGCAGACTTTGAGAAGCAGAAGACACCTCAGAGCTACCTACCTCTGACACCTTAACATCAAGACCCTGAGTTATAAAGTAACTAGGTGAAGATAAGTAGGGGGGTTAGGGCAGAGTGGGGATTAGGGCAGAGTGGGATTTAGTTCTCTCTTCTGAGCCAAGCTGCTTCTGGATGTGCAGAGCTAAGCACACCTGGAAGGCCGAGTACCTAAGGCCCCTGAAATTGTGGCTCCACATACAAATCAGAGTGAAAGAGAAAAAGCACTTCTGGTGTGAACAACCAAGGAGGAAAGACGGGCCGGTGCATTCACTGAAGGTAGTTCATTTTGTGGTTATTTATTTATTTATTTATTTATTTATTTTGAAGATAGTTCATTTTGATTATTTACAGGACCCAGGGATTAATTTCATCAACACAACTTCTGTTGGCCTCACGTCTATTAAAACGCTCACACTTGTATGAGTCCCCAGATGAGGTATGGCTACAAAATGCCTTTAAAGACATTCTCAGCTAAGGAAATAACCGGAAACGCCTCCCAACAAATAACTGTGTTTCTGAGAGAAGTGTCAGGCACTTTGGAAAGGCCCATCCCACCGAAAGGCTCTAGCATTCAGCAAAGTCAACGCTATCTCCAATTTAGTGATTGACAACACGGCAGGCAGCTTCATTCTAGGAATACCGCGAGTCATCTCTTTGCTATTTTTGTGAGGCACACAGTCTGAAATTTTGCAGCTTTTGTTTCCTTGGTTCGAGGATAGAATGGACACTCTCTAGAAAAACAATATTAAAAACTTATTTACAAAGTGGTTGCTTCTCAGCTGGAGGGTGCCACATACCTTCAGAAACAAACAAACAAAAAAACAAAAAAACCCAAACCTTACTGGGACCCTTTTGTGGCACTGATATGTGATACGAGAGGAAGAAATATTTATCCACTTCACAGTGACTTTATTGGATTAAGTAGCAGTTTAAAGGAATCGATATTTTAATAAGTTGTGTCCACTCTATGTTCATAAGCTTGGGTCTGCTCCACTTGGGTTTCAGAAACAATCCATCCACTAATTTAATCACAGGCAGTAGTGACTTTGCTTATCAGTAAACATATACTTAAATTCCCAAATACCTGAGAGTTGCCTTGTAGTAATTTTCAGAAGTACGTAAAGACCTCAATAAAACACATACAAGATTCAAAAAAGTCTTTCTTCTTTGAATCTTTTCTTGACTGAGATCATTTTAGAGAAAGATCTGAGAGATCCTTGAGTGGATGGATGACCTCTTCATGTGGGTAGTGACTCTAAAAGCTCTAGGAGTTCCAGATTCCTCCGAGAATCCCAGTGAGTCGAACCCATGGATTTTAGATCAAGAACCTTGAGTTGCCAGATTAGCACCTGAGGTCAGAGGAGTCTGGTGACCTGCTGAGAGTCACACGGTGCTTTTTTGCCTGCCTGGACCATATTTCCCGATTCTGTGGAAAACAGACTAATAAATCCCAAGTCCTCAAGTCTTAAAATGCATCCAGCCAGATACATATGGACAGCGAGAGCATGGAGATTTAAAAACAGAGCAGAAAAAAGTAACTTGAACAGAATGTGGCATTTCCCTTGGTCTGTTGCTAACGGCCCACATACAACATGCTTAAAAAAAAAATCCCATCCTGGCACTTCTTTTTCATCATCATTTAAAAATGATTCAAATGGACCTTTGGAATGTACGGCATTGGGAATACATCCCATGTGGGGATAAACGGAAAAGAGCTTCCTTGAGCAGGGCTGTGTTTTCAGTGGTTGTCAGGCTGCAGTGCATGTGTACCCCATCTCTTCTGTTCGGTCATACTTGTAAAGCCAAGCACAGTATTTTAGTTGTATATTCTCAGGGCTACAATGCGAGTAGCATTTAACATTTCTTTTTGTAAGACAAATAATTATGGACATGGTTTTTAAAATGCCTTCAGGATTTGAAGATGTGAGAGAAACATGTAAAAGGGAATGACTTTATTCTTTATTTTCTATTTATTCTTTTTTTTTCCCCTTAGTGACTCTTAAGTCCATCACACTTTGTTTTACTAAAAGCTAGAGTCTCCTGCCTCTTAGTGACTACCTTTGGGGGGGGGTGTTTCTGAATATCGCCCCAATTCAAGTCTTTCACACCGATTCTCAGGCCTGGATGTCCCATCTACTCCTACACAGTGTGCACTATAATTTAAAACTTCAGTAAACTTAGAAAGCCCATAACCAGCCAATGGTCTACGAACCTGTTTTGAGGCTCCTGCTTGTCAGCAAAACTTCCTATCGATAACTGTTTAAAAAAAAAAAAAGTTTAAGCAATTTCCCCCTAACACTAGAAACTGCAAAAAAAAAAGTCTAAGCAATTTCCCGCAACATTAGAAACTGCACACACACACGCACACACACACGAAAGTTTAAGCAATTTCCCCCAACACTAGAAACTGCACAAAAAAAAAAAAAAAAAAAGAGAGAAAAAAAAAAAGAAAAAAGAAAAGTAACTGTGGCTGGGTGGAGTGCAAAACTGATCCATCACGGGATGTATCCGTTCCCTGCTCCCCTGAAGTCCCCAGGGATGGGGCACAGATCCCCGCTGTTCTCAGTCTCCAGTCCTGGGTCCTGGGTGTCACACTGTAGTCATTATATTTTACTCATTCCCCCCAATCTAAAATTAGACATTATTCACCGGGGAAGCAGTTTAAAATAAAAACAAAAAACAACTGTAGCCTTTACTTGGGGGAGATTCTGATGCTCCTGGCGAGCCCGTGTTGCAGCCCCGCGCACGCGGACCCGCGGGTGATGGACGCGCCAGGTTTCGGGGACCGGCTTCGCGCGCAGGCGGTCCCCGGGGTCCCCCGGGCTGGGCGGGCATCCGACGCGGCCGCTCCCCGGGCTCCGGGGCTCCCTCCCGGGGCGCGGGGAGGCTGGCGAGTTGGGGACCACGGGGAGCCCGGCGGCCGGGGGTGAGCGCGGGGTCCAGGGATGCCCCCGACCCCCCCACCCCGCGACCCGCGCTCTCTGGGGGGGGGTTCCTCGGGAGGGGATGCTCACGGGGGGGGTGCTCCCGGGGAGGGGATGCTCCCGGGGGGGATGCTCGCGGGGGGAATGCTCGCGGAGGGGATGCTCGTAGGGGGGATGCTCCCAGGGGGGATGCTCTCGGTGGGGGGGTGGATGCATGCGGGCAGGATGCAGTTGGAGCAGCCTGGGCGGCCGGACCCGGAAGCTGGGGAGTCGGGGACCGCGCGGAGCCTGGCGGCCAGGGGTGCGCGCGGGGCCCGGGGACACCCCCCGACCCCCTGACCCCTTGACCCGCGCTCCCCAGGGGGGGCTTCCTCGGGGGAGGTGATCCCCGGGAGAGGGGGATGCTCGCAGGCTCTGGATGTAGTCAGTCCGAGCAGCCTGGGCGGCCGGGACCCGGAGGCTGGGGAGTCGGGGACCGCGCGGAGTCCGGCGGCCGGGGGTGAGCGCGGGGCCCGGGGACGCCCCCCGACCCCCCGACCCCCCGACCCGCGCTCCCGGGGGGGTTCCCTGGGGGCGGGTCCCGGGGGAGGGATGCTCGCGGCCCTGGATGCAGGGACCCGGAGGCTGGGAAGTCGGGGACCGCGCGGAGCCCGGCGGCCGGGGGTGAGCGCGCGGGGCCCGGGGACACCCCCGACCCCCTGACCCGCGCTCCCGGGGGGGGGCGGGTCCCCGGGGAGGGTCGCTCGCGGCCCTGGGTGCAGTCGGCCGAGCCGCCTGGGCGGCCGGGACCCGGAGGCTGTGCGCACACACGCGGGCACACCGGCGCGCGCACATGCACACGCGCTCGCACACCCGCGCCCGGGCCTCCCCACGGGGACCGCGAGCCGAGGCGGGGCAGCGGCCGCCTGACGGGGACGGCCCGGCCGGGCCCCCGGCGCTCACCTGCCTCCTCCGGAGCTCGGGGCCGCGGTGCGCCCTCCCCGCCGCCGCCTGGAGTGCCCGGGGAGCGGGTGCGGGCGGCGGCTGCTGCGCGCACAGCCCGGGCGGCGGGTGCATGGCCGGGGCGCCCCCCCGCCCCCGTCTCCGTCCCCCTCCTCCCGCCGCCGCCGCCGCCGCCGCTGCTCCTGCTCCGCCCGGAGGACCGACAGCCGCGGCGGGCGCGGGGAGCGGGAGCGGAAGCCCCAAGTTCCCGGCGCGGCTCCCCGCCCCCGGCCGCCCAGGCCCCGCCGGAAGGCGCCCGCGGGAAGCCGCTGGGGAGGCGCGCGCGGGGGCCGGCGAGCCCGGGGGGCGGGGGCCGCGCGAGTAGCGTTCCCCAACTTGGGCGCGTCCGGGGCGCGCGGGGGGCGCGGGGGGCGCGCGGGGGGCGCCCGAGGGGACCCGGCGCGGCGTCGCGGCCCCCGGCCCGCCTGCGCTCTCGGATGCCGGCCCGGGCGGCTCGGCCGCGGGGGGTGCCGGGGGGGCGGGGGCGGAGGAGGAGGAGGAGGAGGAGGAGGCTGTGTGATGGCCCTGGACGGCGCGCGGGGGGCGCGAGACGAGGAGAGCAGAGAGAAGAAGAAGAAAAAGAAGAGGAGGAGGAAGGAGGAGGAGGAGGAGGAAGGGGAGGAGGAGGAGGAGGGGGCCGAGGCCGGCGGCTCGCCGTCCGCGGCCACCATGGGGGACGGGGACGCGGGCGGCCGGGGGCTGGCGGGGGCGCGGCCCCGGGGCACGGAGCGCCCCTCGGCGGTGCACGGGCGGCTGGTGCTGGCCTTCGCCGTGTGCATCGTGGCGCTGCTGGCGGTCACCGCGCTCGCCGTGCTGCTCAGCCTGCGCTTCGACGGGTGCGGGCCGGGCGCCCCCGGCGGCGCCCCCGGCCTCCCTGCGCGCGGCGGCAACGCCAGCCTCCCGGGGCCCGCGCGGCGCGACCCGCAGGCGGGCGGGGAGGCCAGCACCCCCGGGGCCCCGGCCGCGCGGCCGCCGTCGGACGCGGAGCGGAGCGGGAGCGGGAGCCTGAGCGCGAGCCCGAGCGCGAGCACCCCTGGACGCACCTGCGCCTGCCGGGCCACCTCAAGCCGCTGCACTACAACCTGATGCTCACCGCCTTCATGGACAACTTCACCTTCTCCGGGGAGGTCAACGTGGAGGTCGCGTGCACCAACCGCACCCGCTACGTCGTGCTGCACGCCTCCCGCGTGGCCGTGGACAGGGTGCAGCTGGCCGAGGACCGCGCGGCCGGGGCCGTGCCCGTGGCCGGCTTCTTCCTCTACCCGCAGACCCAGGTCCTGGTGGTGGTGCTCAACCGCAGCCTGGACGCGCACCGCAACTACAACCTGAAGGTCGTCTACAGCGCGCTCATTGAGAACGAGCTGCTGGGCTTCTTCCGCAGCTCCTACGTGCTCCACGGGGAGAGGAGGTAGGACGGAGGCGGTGCCCCGGGCCGCCCCACCCAGCCCGGCTGCTCGGACGCCCGCACGCCCGCCCCGGGGACCCCGCGGACCCCCGGACCTCCGGGAGATGGGGGGGGCAGGACGCGGAGGGGGGGGGCTGGTGCGGTCACCTCCCCCCACGGCGCGGCACAGCCCCGCAGCCCCAGGGCGCGCAGCGGTGCTGCGAGGGTGCTGGTGTGCGATGGGAGCCGTGCATGCCCCCGGGGCCTCAGAAGCCTGCCAGGAGGCCGTCGAGGGAAGCTACGGGAGGGCCCGAGGCTGGGGGTGCAGCCCAGGCAGGTAGGGTGTCGGTGCAGGGAGGCCAGGCAAGTAAGGTGTTGGTGCACGGAGACCAGTCAAGTAAGGTGCCAGTGCAGGGCGGCCAGGCAGGTAGGTGTCCGTTCAGGGAGACCAGGCAGGTAGGTGGCTGTGCAGGGCAACCAGGCAGTAGGGTCGTGCAGGGTGGCCAGGCAGGTAGGGTGTCCGTGCAGGGCGGCCAGGCAGGTAGGGTGTCGGTGCAGGGAGACCAGGCAGGTAGGGTGTCCGTGCAGGGTGACCAGGCAGGTAGGGTGTCGGTGCAGGGAGACCAGCCAGGTAAGGTGTTTGTGCAGGGTGACTAGGCAGGTAAGGTGGCTGTGCAGGGCGACCAGCCAGGTAAGGTGGCAGTGCAGGGCAACCAGCCAGGTAGGGTGTCTGTGCAGGGAGACCAGCCAGGCAGGGTGTCCGTGCAGGGCGACCAGCCAGGCAGGGTGTCCGTGCAGGGCGACTAGCAGGCAGGTGTCTGTGCAGGGTGACCAGCCAGGCAGGGTGTCCGTGCACGGGACGTCCTGCACTGTGCTGGTGGCCAGCGACCAGCTGACAGTGAGCTTTGGCTGCCTGAAGTTTCCCCAAACTGGAAGTTGAGATCGGGAGCAGGCAGCGCAGGTCCAGGGAACAGACCCAGGGGGAGGGCGACAGGGGTCCTGGGGGACCCAGGGCCAAGGAGGAATGTCCTTGCAGGGGCTGCCAACACTCTCCACGCAGAGTGACTCTGGCTTTTTGTTGTTGTTGTTGTTGTTGCTGTTGTTGTAGTTGTTGAGTTACTGCCCCTGGGAACGACTCCGGGGTTGGAAGGGGGAAAGCTAGCTGTCAGCGTCCGGAGCCTCGTTAGCGAGGTCCTCGGATGCTTCTGTAGATTTGGGGGTATTTTATGCTGTTTTACTGAGAGGCTTGTGGGGCTTTTCAAAACTTTTTTTTTAAATTTTTATTTATTAATGATAGTCAGAGAGAGAGAGAGAGAGAGAGAGAGAGAGAGAGAGAGGCAGAGACACAGGCAGAGGGAGAAGCAGGCTCCATGCACCGGGAGCCCGATGTGGGATTCGATCCCGGGTCCCCAGGATCATGCCCTGGGCCAAAGGCAGGCGCCAAACTGCTGCGCCACCCAGGGTTCCCCTTGTGGGGCTTTTCACCACTTGTTTAGAGCGCAGGTTTCAGAGCCCAGCAGAAGCGGGTTCAAATCCCAGAGGCAGCACCAGCCGGCCGGCGGCTGGGAGGGGCTGATGAGGCTGTTGGGGGGCCCGGAGGGGGCTGCCTCTAGCGCTTGGCTGGCAAAATGTATTGACTCAGTCCCCAGAGAGCCCTGCGTGGAAGGGGCTCCAGACACCTCCTGTCTTACAGGTAGGGAAACGGAGGCACAGAGAAGCCAAGTAGTTGCTCACATAGGGAGCCGACAAAGCGGGGATTTAGATCCACGCAGCTCGGCTTTGGAGCCCATGCTTTTAGTTTTGACTTGGTGACAGTAATAGTAGTGGTGTCCTCACAGGGTTGTCGTGGGTGTCCATGGGCGCTGACATGCCCTGGAAGCGCTTCCTGCTAGCTGTTAGGGGCTCCCTGGGGTGGTCGCCTCTGAAGCACAGTGCTGAATGAATAAGCAGGGGACTCTTCCCTTTGCCCTTACCCATTGCATTTAAAATAACTTGGATTAATGTAACGGCTATAGGGCCAGCAAACAACCGAAAGGGACTTAAAAAAGAAATCCTCAACCTTAGAGGTAGAGGCAGGTGGGAGGTTAGCGACGATGCCCCTGGGAGAGCCTCTCCTGTTCTCAAATGATTTTCACAACAGCAGAAGCCTGGGGCTCTAAGGGGTGCCCCCCCCCCGCCCCGTGCCTGCCATCCGCAGGCTTATCAGTGGAGACGTGGGTCTCCGACTTTGGTTTTCCGATGCACCAGGGCTCATGGTGTCTGGAAACTTCCAGGAGTTGTTCCTGTACAGGAGGCTGGGCCATTTCAGTGGGGCGCGGAGACCTAGGTTCCAGGCTTTAGAGAGAGCCGTGCAGCAGCTCAGCTGCGTCCCCGGCGCTTCCCTGGCTGTGTGACGACGGCCAAAGCCTGCTAGGAGTGAGCGTGTGAATTATGCACTTTCAAACTCCTGCGATCAGACGTGGACGATTGAAACCCTCTGCCACCGCTTCTTCCAATGTGTCCTAAACAATACAGAATAAATATATATATTTAAGACCCACGGTCCTATCAGATATGGGGGAAAAGGCAGAGAAGGCAAATTTGCATGTTGTGTTGGGAAACAAGCTTATGTGAAAATGTCAATAGTGGGAGTTTGCATATCACTGACAAATCTTGCTCTGGCGAAATGAGTGCTTCCAACAAATCCTATTTTTTTTTTTTTTTGAGGCATGCCAAAATATATTTGTTGGAACTGAATTTGTTTTGGTCAGTGTGTTCGAATTAACAGGACTCTTAAAAAGACCAGATGTTTCTGCTTGACCCGTAACTGATTTCTTGTAGCCCTAGTGCATGTTTGTGTCCAAACTCTCCTTTAGTTTTCTCCCAAAGATGTAAATGACTTGGTTATAAGTTTAACCTGGGGCACATGTGGCTGCACTCTGCATCTCAATAGAAAATCAGGATTCAGTACTTCTGGAAATATCAACACGGTTTTGTTTCTAAACAGCATCTTAGAGAAAGTCCTTGTTTCTCTTTAGTTTTTTGTTTGTTTGTTTGTTTTTGTTTTGTTTTTCCCCTTTGAAACCGGAGTGAATATGATAATTTCTCGAGTGTTTCTAACTGGAGTTGAAATGGCCAAGGAAATCTCTGTTCATGATTATGTGAACGTGGACATGCATTCAATCGTTTATTTTTATTCTTTTAAAAAGATTCTACTTATTTATTTGAGAGAGAGAGGTAGAGGGAGAGAGAGAGAGAGAGAGAGAGCATAAGCAGCGGGGAGAAGGAGAAGGTTCCTTGCTGAGCAAGGAGCCCCTTGTGGGGCCAGTTTCTGAGATCCTGACCTAAGCTGAGGGCAGACACTTAACCCACTGAGCCACCCAGGTACCCCTAAATCCTTTTTTTAAAAGATTTATTTATTTATTTATTTATTTATTTATTTATTTATTTATTTATGATAGAGAGAGAGAGAGAGAGAGAGAGAGAGGGAGGGAGGCAGAGACCCAGGCAGAGGCAGAAGCAGGCTCTACACTGGGAGCCCGACGTGGGACTTGATCCCGGGACCCCAGGATCAGCCCTGGGCTGAAGGGAGGCTCCAAACCACTGAGCCACCCAGGGATCCCCATCTTTTTTTTTTTTTTTAACTGTTGTCGTTACTATGGCTACTTGGATAATTTTTTTTTTTTTTTTTTTTTTTTTTTTTTACATACCAATGTCAGGAGCTCAGCCAGGTTTGGACTTTGGTGATGATTTCGTCTCCAAAATGCTCTGTAAATTTGATACTTTAAAACACACTTTCCAAGAGGACGAGGATGTAAATCCCCAACTTTCATCAGATTAATGAGTAAATATCTTGGTGTTTAGTGAGTTGTAATTTTTGCCAAGCTAATCATCGGATAGCTTTTATCATAGACACACATATTCCTTCCTCCAGGGGGGCGTCAGGGCGAGCAACTGGAAACACTTTTACAAGAGCAGCACCGATCTGGTCCACCTTACTCAGGCTGTGTGGAGACAGCTCGTTAACACCCAGTCAGTCTGATTCTTTGGTTTACTCCCCGGAGGTGTGAGAAAGTACTTGGGTGAGGGGTGCCTGGGTGGCTCAGCGGTTGAGCATCTGCCTCTGCCTCAGGGAGTGATCCCATAGCCCCAGGATCGAGTCCCACATCGGGCTCCCTGCATGGAGCCTGCTTCTCCCTCTGCCTGTGTGTCTCTCATGAATAAATAAAATCTTAAAAAAAAAAAAAAAGAACTTGGGTGAACGCAGGAAAATCAGATTTCACCGTTGCTATGAACTGTGAGCCCCGGAAGGTGTAAGAGGCCCCCCCCCCCCCCCCCCCCCCCCCCCCCCCCGGCATGGGATGAATGGGATGAGGCCTGGTTTTGTCCTCCAGGGAACGCTCACCTTTCCTGGCTCCCGTCCTGCACTGGAGGAAGGGGGAGGATAGGTTCGCCCTCCGAGCCCAAGGCTCCTCTCCCTCCAGTGGCTCCCAGGAAATTCACCACTTGTTGATTATTGCAAATAAGTAAATTCTCTTGCATGTGAGGTGATCACACCCCGCAGTGAATCAGCTCCGTCATTTCCCCCTCAGGTTGGTGCATAGCAGGCAGACGATAAGGGTGTGTATTTATGCCATAGTACCCTAAAGTAGCCCATACTTGCTTAGGATTAGGTGTATGTTCATCTACCTGAAGTAATTGCTACTTTTGGGGAGCCAGATGGCAAGCATACCCATGTTCAAAGTAGGGTGCCTTAATTTAGAACCAGATGGTTGGATTGAAAGAGGAAATTTACTCAAAGTAAATGAATATTTATATTTTATCCACTTTCAAAAGGGAGACTGTTTTTTGTTGCTTTTTGCTTTTTTTTTGGACAAACTTTGATTGGGTCCATAACATGCCACAGTCACAGAAGAGGAGATGGAAATGGGTGGGCTTTTTCTATAAAGGATTATTGAAAGAGAGACCGTGATCTCCCAGTAAAATGGGAAAATAACATTGTGGCTCTCCAAGAGAATTGCAAAGAACTCTTTTGCAAAAAAAAA